CTATAAAACGTAATTTTTTCTTGGCTTTTATCAATTTGATCATCCACACCGATAGACAGTATTCCAAAATGAGGAAAAACAGGTCTTGTTTCACACCGGGTGAGAATGCTGGCAAGTCTCACCCGGGGTGAGAGGTAGATCGTATTTTTATTCTCACCCCGGGTGAGGATAGCCACTTCCATTTCTGAATATTGTCTATCAGTATGGGTGATCAAATTGACAAAAACATAGAAAAAATGATGTTATAGCACAAAAGTAACCAAATATAGCCATCTTCAGAGAAGTGAAGGCTATTTCCCTTTTCTAATTAAGGCAAACTACGCCGGTCACCATTTTCTTTTGCCCGGAAGTTTGCGCTACTCCTTCTCTCTCTTTCTCCCCCTCACTCCCTCTCCCCCCTCCCCTCTATCTCTTTCTCTCACTACCCGCAGAAAAAAATGCACGCTTTCAACACAAGAGCGCTGGAACGTTTGTTTACACTGGTATCACGGTGAGTGCACACTGGGTGAGAAATAGCCAAAAGACTCTCACCCGGAGTGATCGGCTTGGGTCGCTGCACTAAGAGTAAGAAGGGGTGAATGCACACCGGGTGAGAATAGCCATAAGATTTGCCCTCTCACCCCAGCCTACAGCTGCGCTATTCTCACCTTGGGTGAAAGGCCCACAACTGCGTTATTCTCACCCCGGGTGAGAATTGAATAGAGGTGGTCTTGCCGCCCTTGCAGTACACTGTCACACAGTAGTAGTGGACTTTGCCTGAAACCTTGGGAGGACTTCCGTAACGAGCGACCACTATCAGACAGAGCAGAATTGAGCGCTTGGGGTAGGGGTAGGGGTAGGGGTAGGGCTAGGGTTAGGGTTAGGGTTAGGGGTAGGGTTAGGGTTAGGTCTAGGCCTCTTCTTTATTGTGTTTGATGGGGTGGTCGCTCGTTACGGAAGTCCTTCCGAAACTTAAATGAAATATTCCTTTGCAAGAACAGTCTGCAAAAACATCTCCTGCGTGTAGACAAATGTGTTTGCGCTATGTAGATCTATGGCGTTTTTACGTTCATCCATGAAAATTTTAATTCTTCAACAAACTGCAACTTAATATCAAGGCCGTCGTTATTCGGACTCGAGTCCGACTCGGGTCCGGAAAAAAGAAAGTGTCTTCGTTCTATAGATCTAACGTTCAGTGCTTCCAATTTTCCGCCG